AAAGAAAGAAAGAAAGAAAGAAAGAAAGAAAGAAAGAAAGAAAGAAAGAAAGAAAGAAAGAAAGAAAGAAAGAGGTAACAAAGGTGTGAGTGATTGTGAGAAGGGGCTCAGGCCAGGAACTTGTACATTGCACACCAGATGGATCTGTGCAAAGGCCTTTTTGACCATAACTGCCACCTACTCTTCAAGCAGGAGCTGAGAGTCCAGAAAGACTCCCAAGTTATGCACCAGTTCCAAATGGGGAAATGTGACCCCATCCAAAACCCAAAGTGGGAGTTGTCCAGACCTGGGTAGTCCAAATCCCCCCAGCCATTTGGTCTTATTAGGGTTGAGCCTGAGTCTGTCACTCCACATCCAGACCTTGACAATTCCAAGTACTGGGACAAGACTGTGACAGCATCACTTGGTTGGCCTGGGATTGAGATATACAGCTAGGTATCATCTGCATATAGACGGATATATTAAGGGAAAAAAACAAGAAAGTTGAAGAGAGTGTAAGTCCATTTCAAGGAGAACACTGGTAATTGATAATGAGTGATAGTGAGTGTCAGAAGCCTCACAATTGATTAACCATTTTGCTAGCTGCTTGCTTCAGTTCTGCCATTACGAAAGAAAAGGGGGGGGGATTAGAGTTAGAGAAGACTGTTACACACAGATGCTCTATTATCCGTTTCCCAGGAATGCCAAGGTCGTACCAGCGTGAAACCAGGAGAGACCAGTACCAGAGACAAGAAGAACTATGGGATGGAAAGGGGGGTGAAAAGCAAAAAAGGGTTAAGAGAAGGTTGGTGTGCGTGGGCTTTTAGTTTCAGGAACGCTTTTGAGACTGTACACTTCTCAGTAAATGAATCTTTCTTTGAACTTGTCTGAGTTTCAAGGGAGTCATCTTTATTGGGAATTGAGCATTGCAGGTCCTCACATTTTGCTGAAATTCCCTTTGTGGATTCTACCTGAAGCGGAAGCTTCACGAGGAGAACCCAATGTGTCAACTTTTCTGGGCTGACTAGTCATCGGTCATGATGGAGGAGGAGATTGTCGAATACGGAGCCAGTGGCGGAATGGAGGAAGAGATGGAGAGGCAATCGAGACCTGTGGCCCGGCTGCTGCTGGTGTCCAACAGAGAGAGGCGACGCGGCAAGGTGTGGAAACCATCCTGAGAGTCTGGGGAATTCCGGGAAGCTTCCTTCTTGGAGAAGGACCCTGAGGAGCAATGGTCTGGAACTGTCAGCGAAGTGGAGACAACGCGGGTCTCTACCTTAGAGGGGTTCGTGAGCCACTTACAGGCAGATGTCACTTCCATGAGAGGGGAATTGAAGTCATTGGGGAAGCTGCTGAGAAGATCATTGAGCAGTCGGGATAGGACCCAGCCTGCCGGGACCATTCCTTCAGATGAGGACAATGGAGACAAAGGGGCCTGAGGAGTGGAGTCCAGTGAGGAGGAAGGGGTGACCCCACTTGCCCAGCCAGCACAACCCCAGGGAGATCCACTTCAACGCTGGGGTCTCATGAAGAAATATGGGGGAGACCCGAAGGAACTGGCAAGTTTCCTGGTACACGTCAAAATCTGCATGGAAAACTGCGGTCATCTGTTCCTGAATGAAGCACAGAGAGTGGCATACATACTGCGCGCCCTGGTCGGTCAAGCAGCAGAGTGGCTGATTGAGATGCACGAAGCCAGAATGCCGGAGCTCACTACATTCAATAGACTTATGTGGACTTTACGTAAACGGTTTGAGGATCCGTGCATTGGGTTGAAAGCAAGATCAACCCTCGAGACTTTGAAACAAGGCAACCGCTCGGTGTTGGA